GACCGGGGCGCGGGCGCGGCCGAGGCGGAGGCGGCGATGGGAGCGACGCCAGCGCGGAGTGGCGGGCGGACGAGGGGTCCGAGGGAAGGCGCGTCAGCAGCCATGTCGACGACGGCGAGGGGGAGGGCTTGGACCTGGGCCTGCGATGCAGCCCCGGCGCCCAGTGGGCGCCAGGTGAGGGGGGTGGCGACGCGGCCGCTGCTCTGGCCATGGGTCCGCAGAGCGCCCATGAGGCGACCGGCAGCATGCAGGAGAGTGCGCTAGGCGCCGGGGATGCGGCGGTGGTGCAACCAATGCAGCAGCAGCAGCAGGAGGAGGAGCAGCGGCAGCAGCACCACGAGAAGGAGGAGGAGGTGAAGGAGGGGCCGGCGGATGATGGTGAGGAGGGCAGCAAGGAGGATGCGGGTGGGAAGGACACCCAAAAAAGGAGGCACATGCGCAAGCACACGCACAGACTTAAGGGCAGGGATGGCGGCACGGATGACCCTCGGACAGCTGGGAGGGGCAAGCGGCAACGGCATGAACAGGAGGGGCAACAGGCGCGACAGGAGCCGCCGCTGGGGCAGCAGCAGCAGCAGCAGCAGCAGCAGCAGCAGCCGCAGCCGCAGCAGCAGCCGCAGCCGCAGCCGCAGCAGCGGGTCGAGGATGAACAGCTGTCAGTGTCACAGCAGGAGCAGCAGCTGGAGGGATTAGTAGCAGCTGCTGCGGAAGCTGCAGCGGCGCATCCGCACAAGGAGGGTTGGAGTCGAGGCCGTGCGGAGGAGCCAAAGCTACTGCCCTTGCCACAGCAGCCGGCGCCTCCCGCGCCGCCGCTGCTGCTGCCCATGCTGCGGCACCAGCCGTCGCTAGTGCCAGGCCCGCAGAAGCAGCAGCACGCGCAGGCGGCGGCCCCAGCCGCGCGGCCCGCCGCAAGCGGCCTGCTCTCGTGCCCCCCGACGCCCCACAGCGGGGACCCGTCCCCGGCGGCGGCGGGGGCCGCAGGGTCACCCCACGGCGCTGCGGGCGGCAGCGGGTGACGCTTTGATGAGTCGATGTCCGGTCCTAGTTTTGGGGGATTGACCTTCTGGGCGCTGTTGGGCTGCCGGCAAGGGCGTCTGGCACGCCCCGCGTGCAGTGCAAGGCCAAGGCTGGTCCCTGCCGTCGTCTCACCCAGCTCCGCTTTCGCGCCCTCTGTAAGCATCTGCGGCATCCTGGCTGCCAGCCCCTGCAGAGGCCTCTGTCCCGCAGCGACGCCGCGGCTGACGCCGTGCTTTCGCAATTGCTGTTTCCTTAGTAAGTGTTTTACTGTGTACACCCAAGCGGGTTTATTATGTATTACTTCATTTTCTTATCAGGCGGGACCTGGTTACGCCGCACTCTTTTCTGTATAAAGCCCTGCACAAGCAATGAATTTCGTAAATCCGGGCGTTGCTGTAACATGCACGGTGCAGCCAAGCAAATGGTTGCAAATAACAGCCTCTGGTGGGCGCCTCATACTGCGCGACCGCGACGCGCGCATCAGCGGTGCAGCGACAGGGAAGCTTGGCTGTCCAATCAGAAGACGCGGGCAGCAGCGCCACAAACACAGCTGCAGTCGCACCGGTCTCAGTTTGCACTGCCGCGCCGACACCACATCCCAGCATGGTGATGAGGGGTGGGGGGAGGGGCTGGGTCGGCTGGATGTGTTATTGGCACGGTTCTAGCCTCAATGATGTGGTCATTATAATCATCATAGCTGTGTACGTGGCCTGGTGGTGAGGGGTGGTCACGGGGGCATCCCAACCGCACGAGATGTCTTTGGACCGAGCCACAGCAGCTGCGTGGCGACAATGCCAGCGGAGGTGGCCTTGGCTGCCGCCAGCCTTGCTGGCGCCGTCAGCAGCGCCCCGCAACGCGCAGACTGCAGGAGAGCCGGTAGTCTACGGTTGTGCCTGCGTTGTCGCAGCGCTTGCTGCCAAACATCAGGATGGGGCTGCTGTGCATGGGTGGTGCGACAGAGCTCCCCACCTGGATGCCAGGGAGGATGGCGGCTGCCTGGGCGGCTGCAGGCACAGGTGAGCGCATGTCTGCATGGTGCGATGTGCACAACCTGCCGGTCAAAAGTCTTCTCATGGGATCCAGCACGCCTCCCTGATCGCCGCTCGCCATCCGCCGCTCATGCCAGTGCCACACAGTCGGCGTTGGCAAGCATGACTTCGGGCATCGTACGGCCGGGCGCGGCGCGGGGGTCGTGGGAGCCGGCTGTTGGCGCGCTCGGCCAGGGGGGGCCGAGGGTGCAACTGAGTGAGAGAGCGAGCTGGCGTGGGTGACCAAGGGCCTGTGTGTTTGCTTTGAATTCGACTCGCGCACTCAAACACCTCGTGCACTCATTCATGCACAGGTAATGACTGAGGCAAGAGTAAGGTACCGTACAGTCTCTGGCTACGCAGATCAGCGAGCACCGTCGCATTCGGTGTATATGTGACCCTTGATCAATTGATACAAATCATCGTCTGATTGATAAACTTTCGAGGTGGCAGCATCTGCCACCTCGACCCACCTTCGGTGCCCTCAGTCTGGAGCGGCGTGAAAAGCGGGATGACAGGGGAGCCGCAGAACGACCCTTTGCAGTTTGGGACGGCGTCGGCGCTGCAGGTGCGGGCCACGAGCAGGATCACGGCGCTCTGCACGTTGCGTCCAAGGTCGACGACGCTCACTTGCATGCTGTCGCACGCCCGCACCCAGGGGCCTATTTCGCAGGCCGACGACGCGTTTGGTGGATACGGTGACGTTCCTCTCGATGGCCACGATCCCTATGGCAACCCAGCTCCTTACGCTGCCACCAGCGACCCCCTGAGCGCCCCGGCGCCAGCGCCGCCCGCTGCAGCGGGTGCGGCGCCCGGCGCTCAGCCCAGCGCGCCCTCGACGGTCGCAACGTTGCTGCAGCAGCAGCAACAGCAGCAGCAGCAGCAGCAGCAGCAGCTGCAGCAGCAGCGTCAGCCCCCGCTGCACAACTTGCAGGCGCCTGCATCGGCGCCAGCGTTGGCGCCGCAGCAACAGCAGCAGCAGCAGCAGCAGCAGCAGCAGCAGCAGCATGCAAGCAACGCGCCGGCGTACCCACCAAAATCATCTTACCCCAGCCTCCCGGGCCCCGCGGTGGCGCCGCAGCTGTCGCCGCTGGTGCCGGAGGTGCCTGGATCCGCAGATATGAGGATCAGTGTGCACTCACCGGCCACCATGCGGGGGCCGTCTGGCGTGCCTGGTGCGCCGCGCGTGCGCATGGGCCCGAGCTCGGGCGGGTGCATTGGTTTGCGGTTCAAAATCCGTCGTGCGGCGGCCACTGGCGCCAGCTGTCCCGGGAGGGAACTGAGCGGCGGAGAGTGCCCGCTTGCCTTTTATGCTGCGCATCCCCAGGCGGGGGGCAAGCCGCTCGCTTTTGCAGCCGCTTGTAGGATTCCCCACCCCGACAACGGCAGGATCACTCCGCTGCCAGCGCGCTGCCGTGCCCGACCTCTCACTCCTCGGTGCCCCCGCCCCGCCGAACTCTGTCGATGCACACAAACCCCCAGGCATGGACGAGAGCTTTGTTTCTTTTGAGGTCACCACTGCCACGTCACTCCCCACATTCCGCTGCCCCCAGGTGCGGGGCGCCGCCCGTGCACCCGTCATGCACCCCCACGCGCACGCCTCGTCTGCTGCGAATGTTTGATTGCGACCGGCCTGTGCAACCTGCGCCCACGCGGCGGGTGCGCCTTGGTCATCTCACCCACACCCTGCAGCAATACGCTCTTCGACCACCATGCGGGGCGCATCCTCCCCACTTTAGACCTCCAGCTGTCATCCCATTCCCCTCGCGTTCCAGAATGCACCATGCTCTGCCCCTCCCCGCTCTCGCTGCCACCGATGCTCGCTTGCAACGCACCCCGAAACACGCGCCCACCACCTGCAACCGCAGGTGACCGTGCGGCGGCGCTTCAAGGACGTGGTGGCGCTGTCGCGGCTGCTCGAGTTGCTGCTGCCGGGCACGATCCTGCCGGCGCGGCCGCGGCGCAACTTTGTGGAGGGGCGGCTGAAGATGACGCCCGCTTTCGTGGAGCAGAGGTGTGTGTATGAACGCACGAGTGCGTGCGTGTGTGGGGGTGGGTGCTCGCGCTCGTGTGTGTGTGCGCTTGCAGGTGCGTGTGTGGGGGTGGGTGCTTGCGCGCGTGTGTGCATGCGCTTGCAGTTGCGTGTGCGTGTGACAGAGAGAGAGTTTGTGTGTGCGTGCATGTGTGTGTGTGTGTGTGTGTGCGTGCGTGTGTGTGTGTGTGCGTGCGTGCGAGAGAGACATGCACAGAGAGCGAGGGTGTGTCAGAATGTTCGTGTGTGTGTGTGTGTGTGTGTGTGAGAGTGTGTGTGTTTGTATGTGTGTGTGCATGCGGGCATCCACGTTGCTACAGTGGAAATGTTGCTACAACAAGCCGGCACCATCTCACGCACACATCACACACCCCGCACTTCGCACAAGCATCCCCTCTCCGCGCGCACAAATGCGGGCCACGCGGCGCGTTCATCC